AGAAATGATGTGCACGGATTTGAGCTACTTAATTTTAACATATATTCACAAGTATCCTGTGCATCCTAATCTTGCACCAAAGACATTTAGTAATAAGTGAATTTCAAGTAATACCAGCACTTAAAAAAAAAAAAAATCTGTATAATGGTCATACCCCACCTTTTTGCAAAAAAATTGGCATGAAATCTGCGACAATTATATAGTGAAATACAGTGCGTAATTCCCTATGAGGCACAGGTAAAGAAAGTCACCAAAGGAATTTATATCAAAATAAGATTAATAATACCTATCTTTTGAAACTTATAAGAAATTAAGTATAGAACTTTAAAATTTTTATGAACATGAAATGCATCTACAGCAATTAGAATTCCAACTGCAGCTGAAAAATTTCTAGATATAATTTTTATTGTCCACAGAACTGCAATTTATACAATAAATTCTCTAAGTTACATTAACTTAAATGGCATTCGGAACTTTGAAAGCACTTCTCTACCAAAATGATACCTCTGAATTCTATTCCTTTTCCTGAGGTTTCTAACACAAGGATGCCAGGTCACAAGTTTCTTTTAGGCTTTAAATGTACTGGGTGTAGTGCAAGTCAAACCTTGCCACTCTCTCTACTGGAGGAACGGAAACTTAAAACTGACACTGCTTTCAATTTTCTTTGCTTTTACTAATTTTTTTTTTCACTTAGTCTAAGGACACAAATGACGTTCTCAGCAATGAATTCAATAGCTAATGTGATTAGCTTTGTAATTTAAAAATCTGTGTGTTCCAGTGTTCTTAATATATAAACATTATATTTAAATTACTTAAAATATTTATGCTCCAGGCCATTTGTTTGTGGTTCTTCTATTACCTCTAGGTAATAATTCCTTCCAGACTCTCTCTTAAGAATGAAGCACACATTCCTATTAAAATAGATGCAAAACTAAAGAAAAAACATGCTACTTGGTAAAAACAAAAATTAAGTATTCACCTAGTTTAGTTATACAAAATACTCTATACGTCTTTGCCCTGATGAGAAGTATCAAATTCTTACAAAAAAAAAATGAAAAATGAATTTGTCAATTTAGGAGAGTAAAAACAAACATACTATTAGAATTGGTTCTTGGGCTAATTAATGGGGGGGGGGGGCATTCTTGAAGGCAAGGAACCTGCTGTTGATTTCCTAATGGGGATGTGATGTAATACTGGAAAGCAGCCGAAGGGAAAGCGATAGGCTGACAAAGGGGGTGGCAGATGCCAGAGAGGGACATGCCTGCGGGCGGCAGGGAAGAGGTGGGGTCATCAGGGAGCAAAAGAGAGCACCGTACAAAGAGTGATTTCAGGGAGCGGGAAAGTGGCCAGACAGATAGAGGACACCAGGGTGCAGGGAAGCGATAGACCGCAAATCGGGAAACGGCGTGACATCTGGCGTGCAGAGCCGGCAGGGGGCAGAGCAGGCAGGGTGTCACGTGGAGTGGGCGCTACGGGAGCCGAGAGGGTTGCGTGCAGACAGAGGGGGGTCTTTACCACCGCCTGAAATGCTGCGGTACTCACAGGAGTCGCGGACTCTTCTTGCCCTGAACTGGAGACGGGGCCTTCGCGGCCTGGGACTGCTGCCCTGGGGCGTCGAGAGGCCTGGCGCTGGGGCTGCTCCTCCGCCGGCGGGGATACTCGGCCTTCCTCCGGCGGGACACAGCGGCGGCGGCGGCGGCCGCAGCGGCTCGGCCTCGGTCCCGACCTCCCCTCAGCACGCGGCTGCTCGTGGTCCCCGCAGGCGCCGCCGCCGCCACCTCAAGGGGCCGTTGTTGGGGCTCCTCTGGAGCCGCCTTGGCCGCCGCCGCCTCTCCCCCTTCCTGGTCCTGCTGCTCCGGGGGTCTCGGCTCTTCCGTCTCCCCCGGCATCGGGGCTCGTCCGTCCCCCACCCCCTCGTTCCAGGCGGTGGAGGCGGAGGCGGCGGCGGCCGCGACGCTGCTCCCCCCGCCCCCCTCGCCTCCCGGAGCGTCCGGCTCACTCTCACCCTGAGCTCCTTTCCCCCCTCCCCTCCGCCCGCTCCGAGGATACCCCCCCTCCCCCTGCCACTCAAGACCCGCTACCGCTGACGGCACGCGCGCGCGCCCGCCACAAACGCTCAGCGGACCAATCGGAGAAGAGGATCGGCCTCCCTGCCCGTACTCCCGCGGTCCCTGACGCAGCGACGTACTAAGTTCCCGCCCCCAACCCCTCCCTCAGCCAATGAAGAAACAGCTCCAAGGGAGCGCGCGAGGTTTCCTTCCCCGCGCACCCGTTCTCACCGTTAAACGGCTGCGTCTCGCGACAATCACAAAGTGACCTTTTCCCCCCTCCGGAGTTCAATGCGCGCTAGGGGCAGTGGGAGGGGTAGATCTAGGGAGGGAGGCGGGTGGTTAGAAAAAGTACCTCTTTCTCCGCCTTGTGCGCGCCCCGGACTAGCTGCGCGCGCACCTGCCTCCCTAAGGAGCCGCAAGTGCCACAAGAGCTGTTTCTAAGCTTCCTTAAACCGGAGAAGTAGCTTGGGCGTTCTGCCGCCTCCACCCCTACCCCACTTCCCTGTCTCTGTCCTTTCTGTCCCCAACGCCACCAGGTCTTGCGGGGAGAAGGGGGAAATTTTTTTGAGCTGTCGCTTCTCCTTTAAGAAAAAAAGCCCCGTCGGCTGCCGGATGAAAGTCTCCGAAAAAATGGCGGCGGTAGGTCGGAGGCGGAGTAATGTGGGCCCGCCTCTTGACGCATGCGCATGGATAATTTGGCCAAGGGCATCCTGGGAAATGAAGTCGTACTTACCCTACGCTTCAAGAAAAATGATAGGAAACCAGAGGCGGAGAGGATGCTGGGAGTTTTTGACCAAGTCACGACGGGAAAGGTAGTTTGCTTTTTCCGGAGGCAACGTTTCCGGGTTAGGCCGGGACGCCTGCCTACATGAGCCCGTTGCTGGAAGGCTTGCCCGGAAGGCTATCTCCCAGTTCTTGGTACTTTCTTGGCGTTAGCGTATCTTTTCCGGAGTGGCAATATCATAATCCTTATTTACTTTGGTTGGTTCAAATGACGCTTATCATGGGGCCGGCCAGCGTTCATTTTATATTATTCGTCTTGTCTTCCTGTGTCTGACCCGCTCTCCTGCCAGCCCTTGGAGGTCAGGGAGCGAATCGGGTCTGCAGGGGCCTAGCAATGCCCCACTCAGTTCAGTTTTAATAAAATGTGTGGAATTCATTATAAAGGGGCTTTGCTGCCAGATGTTGAGGCGTCAAGGAGCTGGCGTCACTGCCTGGCTTGGCTGTGGTCCCTGAGCTGGAGAGAGACATTAGCGTGACTTTAGTGACCTCGGAGAAGCTAAACTCCCCACCCGGAAGTTTGAGGTTTATAAATGTTACTGCTGCACAGGAAGCACGGTCGGGACCGCAGCTTTGTCAGAAGTTATTTTTCTGCTCTCTAGCGTGTGCAAGCAAATTGTTTTCCTGATGCGTCAAAAGGGAGTTTCCATTGATGATCTTCAAGTTGTAGTCATTAATGCCGTGGTCCTCTCCCATTCCTTCCCTTAATCCCTAATAATCAAGGAACGATTTGCAAGAATAGTTCTTTACCTCTGGAAAATAAAGTATCCTGGGTTAAAATCCTGAAAAGGAGGAAGAAGGAAAGAAGATTTGGGGATTCAATTCCAAATTTCTCTTTAATCGTTAAATTGAACTGCAGATAACTGCTGAAGTACATTTTTTCTTTCCAGTATTTTACTTACCACTTAAGATTAGGCAAATGTTTTATATTCACTACGGAGTGTTTTGCACTTTGATAGAGCTAATGTCATTTCCAGTTGTAAAAACGTTTGGCATATTGTCATTGGGGGATTTTTCAGTATTTGCAGTGAGCAGACTTTTAAAACAGCACTGACATCCAATGGCTGCATAAAGTAATACAGAGAAATATCTGTTTTCCAAAAAAAAAAAAAAAAAAGACAGTGGAATGATTCCTTAAACAAACAAGCAAAAGACCACTGTGTTTTAGAAGAAAGATCATGGACTTTGACCTAAAATGTGGATTATTGTAAGTAGAAATGCTACCTAGTCTGTTATAAATTACGATTCCTTGAACCTACTTCACTGTTAAAAACTGGGTAAAATGTATTTTAAGAGGCAATTATTACAGTTCCTTACTGCCTGATGGTAGGCCTTTGGTAAATGTTTTATTTCACCCGATTGAATAAAATAACAGTGATAAAAAAAATTAATCCCAGTGTCAGTTAAAAAAAAATACTGCTACAGGGTAATATCACTAGGGGGGAATTGTGTTTAATTCAAATGTCCACACAGTCTAGAACCTTGTATCTTAAACTTTCCAGTTTTATTTTTCATTACTTCATAGATGTTTGCATTTTGGACCACTGAATAAGCCAGTGGCCAAGAATCCAACTTCTGCCCTGCTTTTTAAAGGACTTACAAACTATACAGGAAAGCAAGTAAGTTTAATTTATGAATAATTTAGTAAAGAATTTGGTGTTAGTTAATGCTGATTGAAATTTTAAGGTGGCTGTGCCTCTATGGTCCCTCAGCTTCACAGAAAAAAAACAAAAAAGAGCAGTTTCTTAGTAACATGAGTTATCTATCTACACTTGGGGAAAAAACCCCACAAGTGTATACCTGCCATTCCCATTAGTTCAAGATGAATTTTGGCACATAGCAGGTGTTCAAAATTAGTTTTGAATCTTTATCACCCTGACCAATGAACTACAAAAACTCAAAACCTTCCAACCTGCTTCCTATGTCAGTCCCATTTTAAAAACTGTGACCTACAAGAAAAGAAGAAATTCACCAAATCAAAAGAGAGGAAGTGTTAAGCAAATACAGGAACCAAAAAAAGTTGTAGAGGCTGCTTTAGACGGTCTCATTTAGTTCCTTTGTGGTCCTCTTTATCACCACATGCCAAAGCAGTTCTTCACAACCTGTGAGACCAGAGCATCTTGGGTGTGGAACAATGGAAGAGCTGGGTGAGTGAGGAGTGTCTTGGAGGAGAAACGGAGAGGATGAAGACTTGGCCACCATCTACATGTATGGTGGGGTGTATTTGCAGTCAGACAGGGAATAGTGCTGGAAGATTTTTTTCGCATCTATCCTCAATCCATACAAGAGTGAGCATGAGGAACTATGACTGGGGCAACAGTAAGTTCACTGTTTGCAGTGGCACAATATGCAGAGAGTTTGGTGCTTACTACAGTGTGAACTCTGGGACAAGTACTTCTGGACAGATTTGTGACTGAAATTGTCAGTTTTTATTGTGGGCTTTTCCCTTTTGGGGACTGCTGGAGATCATAGGGTGACTACACAGCTAGACAACTGCAGAGATGTGATTTGTGGAGAAACCATGTGAAAGGAAGAAAATGGGGGGAGATGGTGTTATGAGGAAGAGAAATGAGGTAGAAGTACAAGAAAAAAGGATCCGCAGAGGTTGGAGAAAGGCCAGAGTGGTTTTATTTGTTCTGTGGCACAGTATTAAATCAAGAAGACATAGTACTGTAACTACAGTGATTTTGTTGGTAAGCTTTTTATTCAGAGGAATCCAGAAGGAGTAGATTACTGTGGCCTGAAAATATAATACTTCCTCCTTACACTTTGAGGCAAGTAAGTAAAATGGGCAGTGGAACTAATTTCAAGCTTTGGAGTAATGCAAAGTTTTTCATTCTTGGTACTTATTCAGTAGACTTTGCCAACTTTTTTTGCGGGGGGGGGGGGCGTATTGCAGCAGTCTCCTAATATTGAGCCACGAACTTGTACCAAGGTTTCAAGCTGTATTAATTCTTCAGTGTTCAGGATTTGTGTGTGTTCACAGATATGTCAAAAGTGCAAACAACAACCATAAATGAGATATCTTGTACAATTTCTTTAAGAAAATGTTGGTTGGAGTGTGATTTCAGAGCTGGAGAAAGAGGAAGGAACAAGAACAAATAACAGGAGGGGAGAAATGTTAATGAAAAGAAAAAAGTTTTTGAAGTAAAGTATTTTGATACTGCAGATTGACTTTTTTTAAAAAAAAATTCTAGTACTGGGGTTTGAGGCTGGAACTCTCTACTATTGAGCTACATCCTCAGCCTTAAAAAAATTTTTTTTTTTTTTTTTTTAAAGCAGAATCTGGATAAATTGCTGAGACTGTCCTTAAACTTAGGATCCTTCTGGCCTCAGCCTCCCAAGCCATTAGAATTACAGGCCTACAACACCACACTTGATAGGAGGTAGCATATTTTGAACCTGGGATAGAATACAAATTCTTATGAATTGTGAGTGTTGGGAGAATTTGCATTTCTGCCTGAGTCCCATCAGGTTTTCTTTTTTTAAAGGGTACCAAATTTCATTAAGATAATCAAAGGAAACTAGTACTTATTCAGTGACATTGGCTTAAACTAGATGATATTGTAAATCATTTTAGTATTTGCAGCAATCCTCTGAAATAGATATTATCTACTTTTTTTTCAGGTAAAAAACCATAATAACTTGTTCAGTGTTACTCCCAGGAGCATCTGATACCAAAACCAATTAAGCCGCAAGGTGTTCTCCTGTACTAAAATTGTGTTAGTTCAGGTATTCTGGTCAATGAAATAACCCCATTAAGAAATTGTGTAGTTTTGCATTTACTGAGCAGGATGGATGTTAAAGAAATCTTTTTGAGAAATGTAGAAAGTACCAGGTAGCCTGGAAGCTAACATGTACAGATTATCCAGTGGGCTATTGATGGCTGTACCCCATCAGTTTCTTCAAACTATCATCAGCTCCATAGTTACCCCAAGACTGTTTCCCTCCCGCTTCAGCAAAGGAGTACTGTTGAGAATAGTGTGACTTAGGTGAGCAAATCTTTCCTCTCTGCAGTACTGCCTTAGAGGTTAGGAGTTTGTAGCCCCATAGGTTTTACCTAAATCCTCATTACACGAGAATGGTAGATAAAAAGAACCAGGAGTATTATGGATCATTTCATTTCAACCTTGGGAGACCCCCAGGATCCCTCACTGCATTCCTTCCATATAAATGTAGGTACTGATTTCCATGGAGAAGCACTAGGGAGAGGACTGAAGAGTTTTCAGTCTAGTACCTCCCCACACCCAATAATCTCATCTGTCATACTGAAATGAGTCATCTTCAGATTACAGAATCTGGCAAAAGGCAGAAACTCTTCAGGAAACAGGAAGAGAAAGCCTTATTAACTCATGACTCAGGAGAGTTTTCGTGACTTTTGATAGCTGATGCTTCCATGCGCTTCACAGTATGGTCTCCCGCTTCCTGCAATTTTTACTGTAAATGCGTTTTATTAATCTAGGAAGAACTTTGACTTCTGGTTGTAGCAAAGCTTAGTAGAAAATTAAAAAGAGGCTATATTTTAATATAATAAACGATTGCAATTCTGAAATTTAGTATTGAGTCTGGCTAATGAGATTCTGAGACAAAAAGTTTTACTTCTCTTTCTTAATTTTCTTTTTCTTTGTACTTCTTTAAAACCTTTCATTATAGGCTGGGCATAGTGGCCTGTAAATTCCAGGAGGCTGAGGCAGGAGGATGTCAAGTTGGGTGCCAACCTGAGCAACTTAGCAAGACCATGTTTCAAAATAAAAACCAAAAAGGGGTGGGAGTTGAGCTCAATGATAAAGCACCACTGGTACTAGACACACACACACACACACACACACTTACACAGACAAATAAAAACCAAAAATCTTGCATTATAATAAGGGAATTTTTAAATATGCAAAGGTAGAACATACATAATCAATTTTTATATACACCTATATATATATATATACCTCTATATATATCCACCTATTCCTTCCATCTCTGTATCATTTTAAAGCTACTTCTCAGATTTCATCTGTAAATACTTCTGCATTAATTGCTAATGCAAGGGTATATTTATACCATAAGACCAGTATTACACTCACAACAGACTTAATAGTGATTTCTCTCAATATCATGAAATATCATTATCACACCTAAAATTAACAGAAATCACTTAATATTTTCAAAACTATCACACCTAGAATAAACTAACTGTATTTATTGACTATTCAGTGTTCAAAAGTGTATAAAAGTTTAGTGTTTTAAAGTGTACTTAATGATTAAATAGGTATCATATATTGAATTTAAGTCTTTTTTTTTTTAATTTATTTTTTTGGTACTGGGAATTTGAACTCAGGGGTACTTGGCCACTGAGCCACATCCCCAGCACTATTTTGTATTTTACTTAGTGATAAGGTCTCCCTGAGTTGCCTTATATCTTGCTTTTGCTGAGGCTGGCTTTGAACTTTCGATCCTCCTACCAGCTTCCCAAGCCGCTGGGATCACAGGTGTGTGCCACTGAGCCTGGCCCTTAAGTCTTTTTTAATCTCTAGATATCCCTGCTATTTTTCCCATTACTTTATTCTTGAAGGGTAATTTGACCAGAAGAGTTGATGTCATTTTTCTTATTTATAAAATGGTGCATGAATGTCAAAATTTTGTGGTATGCATGATTGAGAAAGTTCCACAGAATTTTTTGTAAAATACGATTAGATCTTTTCTTATGCCTTTAAGAAATATCCGTACTCCGCAAATCTGACATAAATGAAAATCAGTGTTTATTAATTTGAATGAACTGTGAAGTTCATTTTCTTTATTTGAGAACTTCAGAGCTAGGAAGGTTCTTAGAAATAATATAATTCATTGCTTTACAAACTTTAACTTGTGGTTAAAAAAATCCACTAGTAATCCACTAATGAGTCTTGATGCACAATTTGAAAAATATTGTTCTATCCAACTACTTCTTTATGTAGATGAGGAAACAGCTTCAGAGACAATGTCTTGCTCAAGAAGACCTGGAGAATCCATGTGAGAAGTGGGGACTATGACCTCCAACTTTGTTTGGGGGCTGGAATCAGATAGCCCAGATTCAAGTCCTGGTTCTGCACTTATGCTGGTTATTTTGTCTCTTTTTTAATCTTAAAACTAAGGACAATAATATCATCTGCCTCAAAGTGTTATGACAATTAAATGAAATGTGTAAACTTCTGAGCACTGTGGCTGGTATGTGTTAATTTTTATTAATTATTATTAATTTCATTACAACAGAAAAGTGCTAGTATAATGATTATAAAGTTTTCCCAAGAAAACTACAAGAGAAACAAGTCCCAACTATTTGAATTGCAACATCTTGATTTTGCATTATCTGTCTTCTCTTCAACTTCTGATTCTCTCCACACCCTAAAAGAATACTTACACTTTGTTTTGAGAATTTTTTTATTTGCTTGGAATCATTCTTGAAATTTAAAATAACAACAGCAAAAAAATCACCAGGGTTAAGAGTGTGTTACTTCCCTGGTATTTTTTAAGATGTTTATAAAATTGCTTATATTTTTCTGATAAGAAACATATTTAGGATCTGTCTTTATATTTAGGATTATCTTTTCCTAATTGAGGATCTTTGTGGGTGGTCTGCCCTAATGAATGAATAAAATGAATACTTGCAATATAAGAAGTCAGAGTATAGAGTGAGACTATGATATTGAATGCAACGATAGGAAATAAGAAGCCAGAATATAAGGAGGCATTAACTATCTCCTGGTATAACAGGTCACAGTGTAAGTGAAATAAGGAGGAAGGGAAGGTGTTTGAAAATAACTTTATCCAAGAGAAGAAGGAGATGAATGGGGACACTGGTTAAAGAGAAAATAATTCTGGAGACTTATTCTATGTTATAATTCTCTTATTTCTTATATAGATGCTTTATTGGAGGAATTGGAACGCTCCACCCTCCAGGACAATGATGAATATTCTAACCCAGCTCCTCCTTCCCTGGATCAGCATTCCAAAAAGGAGAGTAACCTTGCTGAGGCTTCAAAGATCCTGCCCCATCAGAGTAACGCAAATCCCTCCTCGGTAACTTTTCATTTATTCTAGTACCTTGAATGTACAAGTTGCTGGCTCTTAAAGCTAAGAACTCAAGCACAAGCAGTCAGGGACAGCTGACTTCTCTGATCTTAGGTGGTAGCAGGAAAATTTGCAAGGTCTTTCTCCCTGTTGGCCACTTTGTATACCTGCTCATGCCCTGCCATTGTCCATGTGGTTATATGTGACATGCACAGAGCCACCTCAGAGTCAGTAAGAAACATGGGAAGTTGTGGCTTAATGTTATACAAATGATGTTTAGGAAATAGAAGTGAAGCATTCTTGTCATAGAGTATAGTGTAATCTGAATATTCTTTCTAGTGCAGATTATTTATTTGCTTCTGTCAAGCTCTAAGGATTTGCTTTATTGTTTGGCAACACTTTTTTAACTTTACAACAAAGCCTTTTAGAAGTTAGCTTAAATGAAGCCAAAACTTATGGTTTTGTTTGCTCAAAAGAAGCTGTTAATAAATGTGTGACTTACACAAAATATTTATCAACATTTACCAAATCCACGATGGGAGCAAGTAGAGATATCATTGTCCTTTTGAAAACCAAAAGGCACAAATATGGTGGAGAAGAATTGGCATCTACTTCAAAAGTTAAGACAAATTTAGACAATTAAACATGCAGCTGCTCTAGGAGGTGTGTTTACGTGTCAGTGTGAAGCACACCTTTCCCTTTGTATCAAATGACTCTTCTAAATCAAGTTTACTCATTTCCATTCCAAGTTTTCTTGTGCTTGTACTTGAAGTGGTGATGTTTCCCTTTAAAAACTGTCAAATAATGTCAGTTTTATATCAATATTATCAGATGTCTCCACTAGAAAATTTGTTAATTACAAAAGTGTTTTGGTTGTATTTCATCCAATTCAAAGGATTAGATTATGTGGAAGTTCATTCTCTAGTTTAAAAAAAAAATAGAAACATCTGAAGTTGCTAAGGTTATCATAAGTTTAATTGAAAAATTTGACACTGAAGATAAAATATTGTTTTTTGTGGTGATAATATAAATACAAATGTTGGTGAAGCATAGCTTTGTGGTAAAAAACAGTGTTCTTACTAACTCAAAACCTATGGAACAGAAATGTACTCAGAATTACTTTTGATGTGCACAAAACTCAGGATTGCATCCAAACAAAATTCAAAGTCTACCAATCAATATGGAAACCAAAATTTTTCAAATTTACAAATATTAGTATATATACATGGAGTTTATAAGTAACTGATGTAGAAAACATGTGACAGAAGCTGATACTGAATATAAGGACACAATTTTACATGGCTGTATATATTTCCTCGCTGTCTTGCCTGTCATCCTTCGATTTGGAAATGTCTCAGTTCATGAAGTAACCCAGATTTAGCCTGTGTTATGCTCAACTCAGGGAGATCCTATTTCAAAATGAAAAAAAAAAAAAATAGAAAAGGCTAAAGATGTGGCTCAGTGTTTAAGTGCCTCTGGGTTCAATCCCTGGTATTCCTCCACTCCCCCAAAAGCAAGAGTTTGAAATCTTAAATTATTCAGTGAATATAGCATTAAAATTCTGCTTTTGAAGCTTTTAGGGAGTAATGAGTTTGAAAAAGATGTAGCTTAGATTTCTTGCTACAAAAGCTGAGAATTGAACAAATCTAAAGATGAGAGTTCAATGGTTTAATTACTAATTTGAAAATTGTGCTTCTGAAAAAATCAGATTTTGATCCCTATTTTAATTGAATAAATTTATATTCTCCACCGAATGAAATAAAATTGTCAAAGTATATCAAAGTTTTGGCTTATAAGAATATTATTGAAGAAAGGTGCTCTGAAAGAGAAGCAGAAAGGCAGCACCTGTGAAAATATTGTCCTAAAATATTTACACATTTCAGCATAAAAAATAGAATTGAGAATATTTTCCATTTAGCAGAATTTGCTCTGAATGTACAAATTCACAGTAAAGGTATCTTCAAACCAGTTAAAAACATTATGGTCTACAAGCAGGCATAAATTAAAACTATCAGCAATTCAAATATATTAACCATAAAATTCAGCCTTGAAGGAGATTTCAATTTTGTGAGAACGATAGCACCATATTGAAAGGAATATATTTTCCAAAAAAATTTTTATATCACAATGTCAGAGACAGCAGTGCTAAGAAACTGATTAAGGTTTGTGACCATATATCAAGAATAATTAATTTACTTGTGCTATTTAAATGTTCAGATGAGTTTTTTAAACTTGCCCTAATGTTTGTAAATATAGTCATTTAAAATATTTTAGAAATTTTTATTTAGAAAATGAGTATTCAGTAGAATTATTTTGTAGGTTCACCAATATAATAAAAATTAAATTTTTGATAAAAATACATATTTCAAAAATTATATGTGAATTGTTTTTAGAACTCCCTTTTGCCCTCAAAAGTGTCCCACTTTGAACAGTAGGTTAAATTGCCACTCTGTATGCATGATCTTGCCCCTTTTTCCCTGGCGCCCACTCCTCAGGCCACAAGTCTCTCCAGAGTGTTTTTTATAGTCATTGCTTCCACATGAATCATGTTACCACTAATATATGTGTATTTTCCTCATCTTAGTTCTTGCTCAAGCACCTCTACTCAGTGATTACTTGATTAATATAGTTATAACTGCAATCTCTCCCCTACTTTGCATCTTTGCACCCCCTGCTTAACTTTACTTATTAATTTGTTATTTATCAGTTTCTTACCACCAGAAGCAGGACATTCAGTTTTATGTGATTGTTATGTTTTGTTTTTTGACCTGCTATATCCTCTGTCTTGGTACATGACAGATACTCAGTATTTATTTAGTGAATCACCATGGATTCACACGTATTTCTTTTCCAATGTCAAGTTTGATTGTGTTGTAGCTTATACTCTCAGCACCATCCTGAGTGGTTAAATAAAGGGGCTTTACTCTTGCCCTTCTGTTTGTTTTATGGTTCCTATGTGAGGAGGGTGTACTTCTCTATTTCATTGCTTTTCAGGCAGGAAGGGACTGCTAGTATTTGTTCTCATGCCAACTACTCTATAAAGTTTGGCCTTTCTCTACAGGAGGGTTGGTAATTCCTGTGTCTTAGGAAAGGAGATCTCAGTGATTTACTCTGATATCTCAGAACTATCAGTCCACTTTAATTTTTTTTGAGGGGGGATACTGGGGATTGAACTCAGGATCACTCAACCACTGAGCCACACTCTCAGCCCTATTTTGTGTTTTATTTAGAGACAGGGTCTCACTGAGTTGCTCAGCGCCTCGCCATTGCTGAAGCTGGCTTTGAACTCAGTGATCCTCCTGCCTCAACCTCCCGAGCTGCTGGGATTAAAGGCGTGTATCAGCCCCCTTTAGAAGCAAAAAAACATCCTGTAACTCCTAATGTTGATAAGAACCAATATTTTAACAACAGAAATCATTCTTTGCTCTTCTTTGTCACTTATATATTTTAGGTGCAGCTTGTGTATACTACAAGTATCCAGGAGCCCAATGTCTACAGGTGGGTTTCTGTTTTTACTAAATATGTAAAAAACTAACGATATTAGATAATAACTTTGATTTGTCACTCTTTGAGCAGTTGGTTTATAAGTGTCAATGGTTATCACTCCTCTACGCTCCTCCTTTTTCTCTTTGAGCAGATGTAGAACTCTGCTCAACTGACTTGGCAGATTCTCCAGGTGCCTGGCTTCCAGACAGGCTGTCCAGGCTTGTGGGCTCTGCTATTTCCTTTGCCATCTGAAAAAGTCTAAATAGTCCCAGAGTCACCACAGATGGTTTAGCTTGTCTAGTCCAGATATGTGCTGTAGTTCACATAAGAGAAAACATACCCAAGAAACATAAGGAAGATTCCAACAACATCAGATAGTGGGGCTCCATGGCAGACTTGAATATATACTTCTTTCTTGAATGTTTCTTCCAATTTCATTTAGCTGGTGAAAAGTTTCCTTTAATGAAAGTTACATACTGAAACAGATTCACTTACTAAATCGTTTCTCCTGACACAAGCAGAATTGGTAGTCTGAAAAATTTTAAAGGCCATTTTTTGTTGTTGTTGTTCTCTCTTCAGTCATAGCTTGTAGTTTTTAACATCAGACAACTGTCTGGGAAACAGTTCAAAGGGCTTACGATATTAGATAGTAAAAACTGTTGCATGTTCTACTACACTATTTTGGTTTCAGAATCACAATCAGTAATACATTCACACAAGGCAAAGACAGCAGAAGGACTCAATATAAGAAGTCTTTAATAAAACTCCTCACTTGAGGGAATTTTCTATTTTGGTGGGGGTGAGGCCAGTTTATTAATATATGTTTTGCCAGTTAGTTCTAGTTCCAGAAAATTGTGGGATGAGCCGTTCCCCTGACCTCCCCCTCCCTGCCTCAGTAAAAAAAAAAAAAAAAAACAAATGAAGCAAAACAATAAGAAAGTAGTGCCTGGTACACAAAAAGTTCTTAGTAAAATACTCGGTTTCTTAAATCCATGAAGGCAGGAAGGAAGGTAGAAATACAAGTGAACAAATACATAACATGAAAACCAGCTTGAGCAACACCAGTACTAACTTATCAACACCCCTTGCTCTGCATAGAATCCTTGGCCCATTCCCCCTCATTTCTTCCATATTACAGGGAGCTGACTCTGCAGTTCAGGCTTTCTTGTTAGCTCTTCCTGTGACCAATATGAGGCACTGTGGAGAGACTGGGGGGTGCAAAGGAGGAAATCCAGGGCATTTCTCCCAGCTGCTGTCTTTCCACAGTATATCTGTCATCAGCTACATTTTTATGGCTTCAGCTGGAGCGTGACATATCTGCTGTGGTTCCAGCTCATTGACCTGGGCCCTTGGATTCTGGCAGCTTTTCCTCTTTCCTTTATCCTTTTGGTTTAAGGCTGTGATGAATTCCTGCTGTGGCTAATCTCTGAGTTACCTCATTATCTTCTTTTGCTTCTTGGCTGTCCCATCACCTGTGTAATCAAGTTTCTGATTAAATTCCTTTTGTTTACTCACTGTGGTTTCTGTTTTCCTGACTGGACTTTGATACATTCCCTGTTCTGAATGATACTTGCTATGTAGGCATGTGTGGGAGAGTTATATAAAATCCACTTGTAAATATTTTATAGACTTTTGTGAATCCCAGAGGCAGTATAATTCAGAGCCCGGAATGCTAGCATGTATAGATAGAATGTTAGACTCAGAATCTTGATCTCTGCATGTTTCCACCATTTACTCTGGCTTGCTTTAGTGAACTGAACCTTGATTTCAATATAACTTGAAAAAAATGTTCAATACCAGCTGTGAATATAGTAATGAAATAAATTTCTAACAGTTGTACATCAGTAGTAATATGAGCAATAATTTAGAATTGTATGTTTTACATGAACAAAAATAATAATTTTGATAATAAAAGGGAGCGGCAATTCATAAAAATGGAACAGAAGAATAAATGGGAAAAACTCCAGCACAATGAAACCCCTTCCTTAAGAAGTCCAGATTCTTTTAAATGTTTGTGTTGTGATTTATGTTAATAAGATCTCTGAGTAATGAAATAAGTCATTTCTGGTGACATAGTCATTTTTGGTGACTTTTACTATCTTTAAAAATTCAGGGAACAATTCAAAGATTTGAGGTTCCTTTTTTTCTAGGAACATTTCCCTCAGTGGGCACTTTAAGAGTTGATGATTACAACTCTTCAAGGTCTTATTTCTTTTTTTCTTAATTTATTCTAATTTGTTATACATGATGGTAGAATGCAATTCATTTCATATTACCCATATAAAGCACAATTTTTCAAGTCACTGATTGTATTCAAAATATTTTCACAACATTCATGTCATACATGTACTTAGGGTACTGATGTCTTAACTCATTCCACCATCATTCCTAGCCCCTTGCAAGGTCTCATTTCTTATTTAGAATATTATGTGGTTGATTCATTTATTATTAGAGTATTATGGTAGTGATCTATTTCTTTTATATGCTGCAGTAGGACTCCAGTTAAAAACCAGTGGGATTCTTTGAATAAGTACAAGTGATTAAGAATGGGCAGATCCTGATAAGAAACTACAATTATTCTATGCTTGGACACAGAGCAGCAGGATGTGCTTCCCAGGAGCATGTCTGTGGTGACAAGTACTAAGGGATTATGACTGAAAGATTTTGAGGAAGAGCTCTGTATCAAGAAGAACTGAATCAGTCACTTATATACCTGATGATTCCTTCCTAGATTTAAAAACAAAAATAAAACATTAGCATCTGGCAGAGGACCTTGCAGTACTTAAAAGACAATTTTTTTTTGTTTTAAGAAAGGAAGATATTAATTTTCCTTTCATATTTTCCTTGTTAAATACTGAAAAATAACTAAGCCAGCGTTGGAACATGAACCCAAATGAGTCCTTTTTTTCTTAAGAGAGAAGGGTAACATTTTCCTTCTATGCTTTTCTTGGCTGGCACATATATAATAATAAGTAAAGCAGTAAGGCTATGTTTTCATTCTTGAAATAGTTTTAGTGAAAGAATATTTTCTCTTATTTATGGTTTTACTCCTTTCTCTCTCTCTCTCTCTCTCTCTCTCATTAGTGTTGATTTGATGACTTATTAGCTAAGTTCTCTTGGTTAAGGTTTATTAAGAACTGATTCCAGAGCCAGTTATTTGTGATACCTTTTGACCTAATTTTTCCACTTCCTAAAATTAACTTTATGGAAATAATTGCAAATGGGTGTGAGTATTTATTTAACAGTATTGATTATATTAGCAAAAATGAGAAATATATGTGTCTAACAATAAACTTGGTTTGATAAATTATAGCACATTATATATTTGGAAATCATATAGCCTTTAAGCATTATTTTGAAAGACAGAGAACACAAACTTTTCAGCCTGCAGTCCCAAATTCTTATTTTTCACCTGTATTTTGTTGAGAAAAAATTTTATCTTCTTCTCAGTCTCAGTTTTTCTCCTCTGGGATGACAGTGCCTAGCAATTAAGGTTGTTGTAAAGATTTAAAGAGAACAAATGTTCTCTTTATTAAGGGTCAGTCATACTATTAGCACACAATAAATGCTAGCTGTTGTTATAGTTACAAAACATGGATAGATACGTGCATAACGTATGAATAGAATACCACTTAAATTGTCTAAAATTAGACAAAATTATAAAAAATTGCAATGATAGCTGCTAAAATGTACAAAATAATTGTCTCCTCAGAGGGGGGTATATGTATGGTTTAAATTTTTTTTTATATTTCTTTTTAAGTTTTCTACATTGAAACAAAGTTTAAATAAGGATCTCCATACTGTGACTGTATTTATTTTACTGAAGATTGTTTAAACAATCATTATATATGAGAGTGTGTGTGTGTCTGTCTGTGTCTAGGTAACAAATGAGATACACCTGTGAGTTTCACTACAGCTGGCCCCATCTGCCACATATACCACTTCATCTGTTGGCCATGTACATTACTATTTTTCTAGTATAGATGACCCTTGTTTTGTTTTGAAAATACAACTTAAGATACAAAAATATTTCATAAACTCATATGTGTAAAAAGTCAGTGGATTCCAAAATATAAAGGTTAAAAAGTCAGATACCCCTCTTCCCCTTGGAGTCTTTCTTCCACCAACTAATTACTAGCTTCATGGGTAACTGCTGGGAGGTATAGTATACCTCTTTACAGACTTTTGTGCACATATTCACACTTACTATATGTACTTCAAATTTATATGAATGAGCCAAGCACGGTGATGCATGCCTGTAATCCCAGTGGCTTGGGAGGCTGAGGCAGGAGAATCGCAAGTTCAAAGCCAGCCTCAGCAAAAGTGAGGCGCTAAGCGACTCAGTGAGACCCTGTCTCTAAATAAAATACAAAATAGGGCTGGGATGTGGCTCAGTGGTTGAGTGCCCTTGAGTTCAATCCCTGGTACCCCCCCTCCCGCAAAAAAAATCATCAACCCAAATTTATATGAATGGGAGGATACTTTTCATATTGTTCTGGGCTTTGCTTTTATAATTTAACAATATATCTTAGAAATCCTTTTTAGTTCATATAAAGCTATGTCTGCATTTTTTTTGGTGGCAGTATGTTATTCTGTAGCATGAATAAACCAAAATTTGGCTATAGCTCCATTTAGTTTATTTTCAGTTTGCTCAAAAAAACCTTATTGTAATAAGTTCTTTGAACATATATCTTCATTTATATATGTATATGTATTGCTCTTTTATCTTTGTGTATATTGTACATATATCCACCTCTATCTGTTTGTCTGTCTGTATCCAATTTTTTTTTCTGTAGAATAGCGTCTTAGAAGTGAAATTGCTGAATTGAAACTTATATCTATTTGAAGAATTGATAGATGTTGCTTTGATAAGGTAAACCTATATAACTCATGGTGTATATAAAAGCATATGTGTATGTATAATCCTGACTTTCCAACACTGCATGTTATTAAGGTTTTATAATTTTGACTAATAGATATAAATTTGTATTTCACTGCCTTAAATTGCTTATTTAAAGATTAATGAGATTAAGCATATTTTTACATACTGATAAACATTTATTTGAGTTTCTTTTTCTGAAACCTGCCTGTTTAAAAGCCTTTTGTTCAGATTTCTATTAGTTGGTGTTCTTATTATCAATTTATAGAAGTTTTACAAATTTTCAAATATTATGTATGTTTTAAATATTTACATGTATTTTTTTAAGATTGATATTATCAAAGTTTTATGCCTTTCTTAGAAAAGATTTCATCAACCCTAAATGCCAAAAAAAAAATTCTCCATTTTATGGTGGTATTTTTAGGCTAAGATATCTTAGGTATCTTGTTGGGCATGGTGGCACACGCCTGTAAACCCAGCAGTTTGGGAGGCTGAGGCAGGAGGATTGCAAGTTCAAAGCCAACCTCAGCAACTTAGCGAGGCCCTCAGCTACTTAGCAAGACCTGTCTTAAAATAAAAAATAAAAAAGACTAGGGATGTGGCTTGGTAGCTGAGTGGCTGAGTGCCTGTGGGTTCAATCTTCAGAACCAAAAAAAACCTTTTGTCTCACATTTACTCAGCTATATGGTGTGTGGGGGTTCTAAATTTATTATGCTCCAAATACCTTGTTATTCCTGAGTCCAATAGCCTATTTCTGATTATTTGAAATACCACATTTATCATATAGATGTATGATCCTGTTTCTGGGTTTTACAGTCTTCTCCTTCATATTTCTTTATTTCTTAATAAATATCACACACATTTAATTACTGTCACTTTATTTATTTATTTATTTATTGAGCGACCAAAAGATCTTTATTGCAGTGGTGTCTGATTTAACAGAGAAGGAAGAGAAAAAGAGAGAGAGAGAGAGAGCAGGGAAAGAGAAGAAAGAAAGAGGGAGAGAGCAAAATGAGAGAGAGAGAAATTACTATTACTTTATAAGATGTTACATTTATTGGAACAAATTTTCCTTCTTTAACTCATTTTTTTTAACTTTCCTTGGGTTACTTCTAGCCCTGAGTTTTAGCATCTGTTTCATAGCTTGAATAATTCTATTAGGGTTTATTTGAATTAATTAATTGAAGGAAAGTGACATCATAGCATGCATTTCTGCTTGTGTGGGTATTTTTTTTTAATAATTGTTATAGTGAATATTTAAAGCTCATTATGCATGTTGATGCTGTGGGTACATATAGATAGTAAAATGATTACTTTAATGATGCAAATTAACATACCCATCATCTTATGATTATTCTTAAATTTTTGTGGCAAGAGCAGATAAAATTTATTCATTTAGTAGGAATCCCAAATACAGTACCTATAGCACTCATGTTGTACATTAGTTCACTAGACTTGTTTGGGTTACACATCAATTTTGTAATCTCTGACCTAATTTCCTCATTTCCTGTCCCCTACCTCACTCATGACAGCACTTGTTTTATTTTGTTTCTATATATTTGATTTTTTTCAGTTTCCACATATAAGTGAGATCATGCAATGTTTTCTTTTTGTGTCTGTCTTATTTCACTTAGCATAATGTCCTCCAGATTCATCCACATTGTGGCAAGTGGCAAGAACTCCATCTTTTCTAAGGATGAATTATATTCCAGTACATATCTATTTGTATGTATGTACATATGTATGTATGTATCTTATCTACCTACCTATCTATTTCATTTTAAGTGTTTATCAACAGACACTTTGGTTGTTTCCATATCTTGGGTATTCTGAATAGTGCTGTAAAGAACATGGGAGCGCAGATATCTTTATCAGGTGGTGATTTCATTTCCTTTGTGTATCTGCTTAGAAAAGGGATTGCTGGATCATATGCCAGCAATTTTGAATGGTTCTATTTTAACCTCCCCACTCTTTTGCTCCATGACTGCACCAATCTACATCCTTACCATTTTCCCCAATATTTATCTTTGATGTTTTGATAATAGGCATCCTCCAGGTATGAGATAGCATTTCATAGTAACTTGGATTTGCATTTTCCTGATGTTTAATCATGTTGAGCACCTTTTCACATACTCTTTGGTCATTTGTATGTCTTCTTTGGAGAAATGTCTATTCAGATCCTTTGCTCATTTTTTAATCATATATGTGGGTCTTCTTTTATGTCTTCCAGTGTTTTTCTTCATAGAAATCTTACATTTTTGTTAGATTTATTTTTTAATATTTTGTAATTTGTCTTGGTATTATGGATCCCATTTAATTTTCTAATTGCTTAGTGCTGGTTGATAGTAAATACATTCTTTCATTTTATTCTTGTATATAGTAATGGTTCCGGTGTTTTGTCTTCATTCTGATAGCTGTTCAATCACTTTTTTTTTTAATATTCTCTAGGTCAGTGATCATATTACCTATCTTAAAAGAAAATAAAAGTGAGAGTGCTTTGCTTTTTTTCTTCAAATACTGTTTTATTTTTAAGGTATTTGGTAATGCATTCTGGAATAATATTGAAAATAAGGAATAATGGTAATATTGGTGTTCTGCTTATCTCTTAATTAAAATGTGTTTTGTATTTGATGAGTAAATATGGAGGCTAGTATATATTTCTTATAGATACATTTGATCAGGTTAAGGACTTTTTCTTTTTTTCCTTAATCTTCAACAATAGGAATGATCATTAAATTTGATTTCTACTGCTTTTTCAGTATCTAACGACATGTTTAGAAAGCTTTTCTCTTATTTGTTAGCATAATGAATTATATTATCCCTTTCCCTAATCTTGAACCCTTCAGGATGATTGACATAAACACTACTTAGCCGTGATTGTTTAAAAAACATATTTCTTTTGTTTGTTTCTTATACTAGGGATTGAACCTAGTGGGGCCTAACCACTGAGCCACATCCCCAGTCCTTTTTATTTTTTATTTTGAGACAGAGTCTCACTAAGTTGCTCAGAGCTTCACTAAGGTGCAGAGACTGGCTTTAAACTTGTGATCCTCCTGCAGCCTCCTGAACTACAGGGATAATAGGCATGTGTCACCAAAGCAAGCTCTGCTATTGTCTTTAAGATTCCTCTTTCACACACAATGCTCTTTCTTTATCTAATTTTAGTATCAAGTTTCTGTAATATTCATAGAATTAATTGGGTAATTTTCCATATTTTTCTTTATACTTGGAAGTTTTGTACAATATTCCCCAAAAGCTATCAGGTTTTTTTTTTCCTTGTTTGTTTTCTGCTTCATTAATTTAGGCTTTAACTCCTGCTTAAGTATTTTAGGAGTCTTTTTTTAGAGCCTTGAGTTAAAAATTTTATTTGTGATCTCTCTTATTTTTCAGTATTTGACTTAACTACATTCATATATTTTTCTTTCAGTGACACTTTGTTTTCAACTCCGAGGGTGTGTGTGTGTGTGTGTTTTCTCATTGCTATTTATAAATTATTTGAACATTCAGTTTTAATTATTTTTTAATCATAATAATTATATAGAAGTACTCTTCTGTTTCTTAAGTAGATAATTTTTGCTTAATTCGTACTTGAGCCTTATTTTGATTCCTCATACTTGGTTAATTTTACTAATGATTATGCAGTTACTTAAATAGCTCCTATATTCTATTTTTAGGCTAATGTTTTATTTGTTTCCAATTATCTAAATATGGAATCACCATGATGTACATTATCTCAATTTTCCATACCAAGGATTTGCAAAATTTTTCTGCAAAGAACCAGGAATTAACATGTGAGGTTTTTGTGGACTAAAGGTACCTGTAGCAACTACTCAGCCTTGCAGAGAACACCTGTAGGCAGCATTGGTTGGACATGGTCAGAATTAGCCCATGGACCTTAACTTGTTAATGCCTGCTTTATATTCTTATTTATTTATTTATTTATTTTTTGTTGTTGGACAGTACCTGAGGGGGGAGATATAGTACCTTATAATTTTTAAAAATAATATGACTAAAAATTAAAAATGTATGGCTATGGTTTTAAAGCTTTATTTAGTGGCTGCTTGGTACATCATAGTTGGGGGAAAATACCCTCTCAGTTACATGTTAAGCCCTTTCCTTTACACACTTGAAAACATCATTTTTTGAGATGACTAGGGACAAAAAGCATAGAGACCTTGTTCAGATTTTTAATCTAAGAGCTATTTTTTGATTATTTTTTTTCTGATTTTAGATTTATGCCTAAGGGGTTAATAGTTAAAAGTGCATTTTATGTGTGACTTAACATTTATTTGAATTTTGATAAGTTTATATGATTTTTTTCTCTCTTTCTTTATAGTGAAGTTCAAGAGCCAAAGGAATCACCACCACTTCCTAAAACTTCAGCAGCTGCTCAGCTGGATGAACTCATGGCCCATTTGAGTGAAATGCAGGCCAAGGTGGGTGCAATCTGGATGAGCTAAGTTCCTTAAAGATAAAGGAGGCCCAGAGAAGCACAATTCTTTGAGGAACTCAGTTCTGCCTTCCTAGACTAAATTCAATTCATGGAGAAACTCAAATTTGTACTATGTGTTATTTGGAAACAAATGATAATATGGTGCAGGCTTTGATATCAAGGAGCTTGGAATATGCTTGGTAAAATGAGGCATAAGCCTCTATAGAGTAAAAGGTGGTTTGCCAAAATATGTGGAGCAAACTTTAGGGATTTGGCGAGGCTACTCAGATTTTACTGGAGAGGTGGGGATGGGACTTGGGGCTGACTCTGAAGAAGGGGTGGGGTTTGAGCATAAAGAGATGAGATGAGTAGTACTTTTATTTGCAACAGGCCCAGGGGGCATATGTATCTAAGAACTGTTAGGGAGACCTGACTGAGCAGGACAGAAGAGGCCAATGAGACAAGGCAGGGGAGATCAAAGTAGGAAGATAAAGAATCCCAAGCCCATATTGAGATAAAACCTACCATCTTATTTTTGCCTATAGAACATAAATAACAAGCTCACATGTCCTGGAAGAGAATGGAAATCAAATAAATGGACTTAAGAATTTATTAAAGGAATATAATATAGAATTCGTAAGGTAGAGGATTCAACCACTCTAAATCTGGTTGGAGAGTTGATATACATTCAAGACATAACTATGAAAAAAATTTAAGGCATTAAAAATGTGTGTAATTGGAGAGGTCAGGGACCTTATCTCTGTGACTGACCTGGGGACTCATAGTGCCCAGCACATTGCTATGCCTGGCACATAGTAAGTAACACATATTTATTAGAGAGACAAATGAATGAACATTCCAAGCAAACTTTCTTTAATAAGTTAATGTTCTTTGATTAGCTAATATCTGTAGTCAATCTGGGTAAACTGGCTCATTATGCTGTATATCTGAAAATGCTAGAAAAAATTTACATTATGATATTGTGTTTTGTGATTGATTTGGCATGTTTCTTGTTATATTTAAATTTAAATTTAAAATATTTGTTTTTAGTTAAACCTTACATTCACATTGTACAAAAATCAAAAGTACAAACAAGTTTACATTAAACTATTTTCCTGTTATCTTTGTCTCTCCAGTCATCTAGTATCCTGCTTTTTATTTATCTAAAAGTATTCTGGAATATACACACAAGAGGTAGATACAGATGTAGATACAGCTATACTGTGGCTTTTTAATTTTAGTTATTTTTATTCTTAATATTGGTCACCCTTTCAGGGCCTTCAGATGTTAGCCTTACTTACCTCTTGAACATTAACTAGCATTATGAAATAGAGGAAAAAGGGAATTAGCATTATTATTGGTGAAATAATATGAGGTTATTCCAGGCAGCAAAATAGAATAAGTAGAGATCTGAAGGTAGAGAGTAACCATCAAGATCAGAAGACCATAGGAGCCTTCTGGCATTGAACAAAGAGGCCTTTTGCTGCATAATAAAAGGTAGATTGGAAAGGTAAAGTGAAGGCAATAGATGAGAGGCTTTGAATGTCCTTCTGATGAGTGCACATTTGATGTGGAGGCAAGGGAGCCATAGTAGCTTCTGATCAGCTAAGCATTAATAGAAGGTAGTGGTAGCCCAATTGGAAGGGAATAGGACAATGCAGGACGTAGTGGTGAGAGACAAGTTAAATAATATCCTTTTTTTTTTTTTTTTTTTAATTTGAGAATCTCCCGTTGCTTGGCTTATAATAACTAACTTGGAATTTTGCTTTAAAAAAATCCAGTCTATTGGCATGTCTTATCTGACCATTTCTCCACTCTCTAACACTGGCCTAAGTCAATATGTAATAGTCTCCCTGCTTCCCTATGGCTTATGGACACTTAGTTCTGCAATGAACCATTACAGGGTTATTGTCAGTCAGATTCTTTCACTCTGATACTTGCAATCCTTCAGTGGCTCCCATCACCTTGGAATAAAACCCAAGTCTTTACCAGGAGGGTGCCATGTAATCTTAGCCTTTCTGTCCATCATCTTGTCCTCAATCTCAGTCCCTCAACTCTAGGCACCTGGGGCCTTTTGTCTTTTCTTTTAATGTATCAGGAGCTAAGGATGTAGCTCAGTGGTAGACAGCACTTGCCTAGCATGTGTAAGGCCCTGGGCTCTAGCCCAGCACTTCAAAGTCTTCTAATATGCCAAACTGTTTCCTTCCTCAGTGCTTTCTCTCCCTCTGGAATGCTTTCCCACAGCTGTCTATATTTCTGGGTCCCTAAGTACCACACAAATAATCTGCTCAAATATCATTTCCTCAGTGATATTTGGTCTTCTCTGATTAGCCCATTAAATCAGTTTTTCCTAACCATCTCATCCTCCATCTATAGCTTTACCTGACATTACAACATGTTTGTTTGTTTACTGTGTACCAAAGAATGTAAATCAATAAGACTAGAAACTTGGTTTGTCTTGTACATTGATTTATTCCAAGTGCTGAGGGCAGTGATTGGCACAGACTAGGTATTCAACCAAGATTGTAGAATACATAAATAAAATGAAGACCGGACTAATTGCCAACTTAGGTCATTATAAGAGTTAGAGAGGATATCATATTCATGTACTCAATTTTCTACAGTCAGAAAAGATTTACAAATAGAAGAAGGTCAGTTTTCATTTGGCTTTAGAAATTTAGAATAAAAGGGAAATGAAAATATTTCTCTTGGTATTAAAATGTTGGATTCCTCGAGATCTTAGAGGAAAGTTAAGGGAAGACCAAGAAATCTATTGGTAGAGGTGAGCATCCTGGGTTGTGTAGAAAATACCAAGAAAGTTGTTTTAATCAGCTTTTTCCTCTGCTGTAACTAAAAAAAAAAAAAAAGACCTGATATGAACAATTTTTACAGGTAAAGTTTATTTACAGGCTTATGGTTTCAGAGGTCTTAGTCCATAGACAGCTGGTTCCATTCTCCAGGGCTCCAGGTGAAACAGAACATCATGGCAGAAGAGTGTGGTGGAGGGAAGTGGCTCACATGATGATCAGAAAACAAAAAGAGACTCCACTTGATAGATACAAAATATATACCCCAAAGGCATGCCCCGGTGACCCATCTCCTTCAGCCACAGCTTACCCACCTTCAGTTACCACTGAGTTAGTCCCAAAGGGGATTTATTCACTGGTTGGGTTAAGGCTCTCATAACCCAATCATTTCTCTAGGCTTTTTGCATTGTTTTACACATGAGCTTTTGAGGGACATCTCACATCCAAACTATAACAAAAGTACTTGAAAGTTAACTCTCTTTGTGGTTTCCTTGTACCAGGTTGTGATGAAGGCAGATGCCAGCAAGAAACAGTTACCAGACAAGCAGGATCACAAGGCTTCCCTGGATTCAATGCTTGGGGGTTTGGAGCAGGAATTGCAGGACCTTGGGATTGCCACCGTGCCCAAGGGCCACTGTGCTTCCTGCCAGAAACCGATTGCTGGGAAGGTGGGATGAGCTAAGTCTGGTCCTATAGCATTTGTATATGTGTGTTTGTCTCTCTGCCCTGCCAAAGAAAGTACTTTTTACTTATATCCTAAGACTTTTAAATAATCATTAATAATTACTGATCACTTGTAGTGCTCTGATAACAGAGCTAAGTGCTTTATAAGTATTTCCTATTTAATGGTCCCACCAGCCATTATTTAATGGTCCCCCCAGTTCCCTTTGTAAAGACAAGGAAGTTGAGAGCTGAGAGGCATCAATTGACCTGCCCACAGTCTAGTAAGAGACAGAGGTGAGGTTTGAAACCAGGAGAATCTGATGCCTGAGGTTGAGTTCTTAACCATTTTTTATCTCACTGCTCCCTTTGTTCAAACATTTCTGCTTTAAATTGATTAGTTTTCAGCTGAATGTATCTTCAAATCATAGCCACAAAGTCCTGCTCTGAATCATCCTTCACCAGATCCATGTAGAGAGCTTTCCGACCGGAACTCTGTAGGGCATGAGATGAAGTGCAGAGCAGAAGAGTTAAAACTCAGTTGGCCCTTTCCTCTTCCAAGGATCCCTTCCATGTGAAAACTGGAGTTATCTCTTGTCTATCACCTGTGTGCTCTATGTTTTTCTACTGTTTTCTGAGGCAAGTAGAATGAAAAGGAACATGTACCCATGTTTATCAGAGTGATCAGTCAGGAAAGTGGACACCCTTTTACTATTCATTAAGCATGACAAGAGACCACCTCAAGTGTGCTATAAGTCCAGGGATTGTTGTCTATGTGGAATGCAGTGGCCTACATAGTTGTGCAACCTCAGTCCTTAAAAGTAGTCTGCTGGGCTTCCATTTCCGGCTCTATGTCATCCCCTAGATGATCCATGCCCTAGGACAGTCATGGCATCCAGAGCACTTTGTCTGTACTCACTGCAAAGAAGAGATTGGCTCCAGTCCCTTCTTCGAGCGGAGTGGCTTGGCCTACTGCCCCAAAGACTACCACCACCTTTTTTCTCCACGCTGTGCCTACTGCGCTGCTCCTATTGTGGACGTAAGTAAATCTCTCTCCTCTCAGGTTTCATGTAGGTTTTAATCACTCTTTAGAACCCAGATAATGTTTGACAGGTCTGCAGTCTTCTAATGTCTCTCTCTGTGTTCCTTTTTTAGAAAGTGCTAACAGCAATGAACCAGACATGGCACCCAGAGCACTTCTTCTGCTCTCACTGTGGAGAGGTGTTTGGTGCTGAAGGTAGGACTGGGAGGCTGCATCTTAAACCCCAAGGGCTGGTGGTAAGGAGGAGGCCAGCAGTGCTTTTCCTTGGAACCTGTTTTTCACTGCTGCAGCAGTCCTAGTTTCTACCAGTACCATCTAAGTGCCCTTTGTTAGCTTCCCATTGTTGTGACAAAATCCTGAGAAAAATCGTCTTAAAGGAGAAGAGGATTATTTTATGTCATCGATTCAGATTCATACATGGTCACTTGATTCCATTGTTTTGGGGCTTGTGATGAGGCAGAACAGGGAGTACATGATAGAGCAAAGCTGCTCACAAAATGGTGGCCAGGAAGTAGGGAGAGAGAGAGAGAGAGAGAGGAGAGAGAGGAACAAAAGTACCCTTTTTTGGTGGGAGGGGTACCAGAGATTGAATTTAGGGGCACTAAACCACTGAGCCACATCCCCAGCCCTATTTTGTATTTTATTAGAGACAGGGTCTCACTGAATTGCTTAGCGGCTCACTAAATTGCTGAGGCTGGCTTTGAACTCGAAATCCTCCTGCCTCTGCCTCCTGAGCCACTGGGATTCCAGGCGTGTGCCACTGCACCCAGCCAAAATGTGCCTTTTAAGGGCATACCTCCGGTGACCTACTTCCTCCAACTAGGCCCCACATCCTAAAGTTTCCACCACCTCCCAAAGCCCATTAAGTTATGAATCCATAAATAGATTAATCCATTCATGAGGTCAGAGCTTTAATAATCCAGCCACCTCTCAAAGGCTCCACCTCTAAACACTGCTGCAAGAGGACCAAGCCTTTAGCATGAACTTTTGGGTACAATTCAGATCCAAACCATAACATACTCATTTTGGTACTAGATGACATCCCTACCTCTTAAAATTTTTGATAATTGATTTTTTTAATCACAGTGATACAAATGCATAGTTTAAAAAGTCAAATGTTACTTTATGATTATTATGGCTTAACTCTTAAATGTACTCCACAGGTTCATTTTTTAAATGTTTTTTTGAACAACTGTAACTCATACATAGAATTTGAAAATTTCTTTATTTGTCACTTTTAGAATTAACTTAGAGAGGAAAGTTCTCATCTCTTCCTAAATAAAAACTTGGCCAATTGCATGTCTTTTCTGATCACCTTAATAAATAGTTTTAGGTATAACATCAGTTTAAAACAAAACAAAAAAGTTCTGGGCTGGGGTTGTAGCTCAGTGGGCATAAGGCACTGGGTTCGGTCCTCAGCACCACATGAAAATAAATAATAAAATAAAGGCATTGTGTCTATAAAAAAATAAAAAATTAAGTCTTTAGGTAATTTAGTCTCACAGTGTCTGATTTAGTAGTAAACGAGCAGTAGTAAAGCTTCCAGATTTTTTAAAGTGGAAAAGTTGCTCTTTTTTCCTGGAGGGGCTTTAAACCTGGCCTTTCACCTCTCCTGAACTGCCTTTGCCCCTACCACCCTCACTCTAATTGCAAGCCAATTAGGGTTGAAATGTGAAAGACGGGAACAGAAGGCAGGCAAGTCCTACCACATAAAGTATTGTTATTAAATTGAGTTTTTGCTCTGGGTCTGTGTAATGTTTAACTTTCCTTCTATGGATTAAATACAGGTCCCGGAGTGAACTCTTTTGATGGCCCACTGCATGTATTGCTGGCTACTCTGTCCTTGTCATATTTCTTTGAGGACTGGTTCCTTAGAGATTCTTTTTTCATAGGCTTTTTCATTGTTCCCTTCTGGTGTTTCCTTAGAAATTATTAAAATGGTTTCATATCATCTCTTTCACTCAATTTTTCATGTAAGACCTTGGGAAACCTGCCCTTTTTTCCATCAGCCAATGGAATTGCACTTCACTTGCAGCTACTTTTCTATATTCAGCTGCTATCGGCTCTGTCAGCCATGCTCTCCCCTATGGACATTTTGCAGGGATGAGTCAGATACCATCAACTGTGTCTCACTAACAACAGGGCACACATATTCAGCTCTCTGAGTAGTCCTATTGAAGTCCCTCCTCTCTTTCTCTTTTTCTCCTAGCACTGGGGTTGAACCAAGGATACGTAATCAGTAAGCCACATCCCCAATCCTTTTAATTTTTTATTTAGAGACAAGTCTCACTAAGTTGCTTTGGGCCTCACTAAGTGACTGAGGCTAGCTTTGAACTTGTGATCCTCTTGCCTCAGCCTCCCAAGCAACTAGGATTACAGATGTGTGTCACCATACCTAGCTTGAGAATAGTTTTATTTCATTTTTACCTAGTTGTAGATGAAAACACTGAACTTCAGGAAAGTAATTTTCTTAAAGTCATGGTTGAGGAGATAGAACTCAAACTCAGGTCTCATTTCTGCAAATTCCATGTTTTCTCTACAACATAACTTTCCCTTGACTGTGCAGTTATTGGATCCCTTTACTTTTGTAGTACCAATGTGATGTGCTTTATTTGACAATAGACCAGTGGAATAGACACAATCCACTAGCAAAGCCCTTTGTGGTAATTTGTTCACTGGAGCTTGCTCAGTGCATTTCACACAAATCATTAGGTATTTTGTTTCAAGATTGCCCTTCAGTGAAGCATCACTTTTCATTGAGGCTTGTCACAGTAAATTTACATTGTAGTGGTAGCCATAGAAGTCGAGAGTTAGTTGACTAGGATAATCAGCAAGTGAATACTGCCCACAGATAACTGTGATATGGAAGTTTCCTAGAAACAGAACAGCAGGATATAGACATATTTTAGATAGAGATGTAAGTTAGTTACCAAAGAAAAATGTCCAGTACATAGGATGACCAGAAAGCATAACACAGGTGGCTAGTTTCATTGTTCTTGACTTTGGCCTCTTATAAATAGACAAGACTGATTGAGTCATTTATGACTTTAAAGAAGCACAAATCTATACTTAAAACGTATTTATTAATGGAGACACTTGACAGAAAGGACCATTTATTAATCAGAAGCTCCTGTTAAGTAGTATTTGCATTTCTATGCCTGACTTTCTTGTAGATGGGTATCCTACCATATGGTCAGTCCATTAATTAGGTGACATCCTGCCTTTTACCCCAAGTCACATAGTCACACATAGAGTTTCAGTAACGACAGTTTAACCACAGAGTCTCTTGGGAAATTAAATTCATCTGCATTTTTTTTCTTCAGTTCAAAGAATTGCTCTTTAAGGCTCAAGTTTCTAAGCACATTGGGCCTTAGCATCCTCAGCATCCTCCTGAGGACTAGGTCCTCAGTGCCTACCTGTCTTTCATTTTAGTTGTTCATTATCCAGGCCATGCAGGTGCTCCCTAATTTCCCCTGTGGCTAAAGTCTCACCATAGTATAAACACCCTCCCTCTCTCTGTGACACTTTTAATTGTCAGTGTTTCACATTCGTCCTCCAGAGGTAATTGGCCCCAGAGAGAGCTTCTGGGAAAATAAGTGTGGAAACTTGCCCAATTTATTGGATTACTAAATGCAGGAGCATCACAGCAAGTTTGGCTGATTGCTTTTGATTCCTCTCCCAAGAGTCACCCAAGTTGAAACAGTAGCTGTTACTTCCATGCTCTCTTAACTCTTGAGACCAACTGCCCTATAAATGCCTAGAGGAGGGTCATTCCTAGGTTAGCTGGCATGTTTTACAGTTTTTCCATGTAGTACCTACTTATAGGCAAGCTCAATTTTCTGTCCTTTGCTTTATGCACATCAGCATCACCTAGGGACTTATTAAGAATGCAAAATCTGGGGCCCCATTCCATACCTATTGAGCAAAAAAAATGGGGGCAGGATGAAGAGAACCCAGTAATCTAATTTAGCAAGTTCTTAGATGAATGATGCATGCAAAAGTTTAAGAAATACTCTGCCACATAAAATCAAGAAAGATGGCAGTGGGTGTTTGTTTAGATAGTAGAATTTCCTGTATTAATTTTCTCTAGAACAGACTCTAGAAATCTTTTGGGGGGTTGAAGGGAGGAAAGTAAAGTGAGCTCCTTTGTGTCTCAAGCATTTAGAAGGAGGAACATAGAGTAGCCTATAAAATTACTAGTTTGGATTCTTGGATCTGTAGGCCTCAGAGTTCTGATAAATTGTCTTTTTTTTTTTTAAAGCAGACATGGCTTTAACAGAGCAAACCATGTCAAAAAGTAACAATAACTAAGGGAGAAACAACAGTTACATAATTTGAGTCACAATCTCAGGCCGTACCTATTGTTATTTTGTGACCTGGCCATTACCATACCATCATAGTAGATTTCTGGAAATATTTCTTGGGTAGGTGCTATGTGGTCCACTGTGTATGCTTTACTTGCCTGTTATTTTAGTGAGATACAAATAGAGTGCTTATATTTATAAAACTACTGGGTTATGATATTTGGGTTCAGCTGATAACTGTCAGTTCGTTCCCATGGAGAGATCAGTGTCAGGATGCGTTTAAGTCAGGAGTATGATATTGAAATTGGGCCTTTATTTGAATCTCAGCTTCTCTACTGAGTAGTTATGAGTAACTTCTTTAAGCTTCCTTTTTCTTTTTCATTTGGGGTTAAAGATGGGGTTAAAACTCACTTCAAAGGATTGCTGGAAAGGATCTAATTTTAATTTAGTACTATAGTTAAGAGTCTTCAGCAGAAACAGTGGATTGCTGATTATTTTTATTTTAGGTGGCCTCCCCCCAGTAAGTACTAAGGAGAATTCCTTACAGAAAAGTTCCCTATTTATACATATTCTAGTCAGTGCTGAACTGAAGCTTTCTAACTACAACAAATTTCTGGAGCTGATGATCTCATCTTTGCTCTTCTATTATTAGTCTCATGTCTATCATTCAAAAATATTAAATTAAGCAACTACTATGTATGTGTCAGGGACTATTGTGGGTCCTAGGGACAAGTAACAGAAAAGAAAGTTCCTTCTGTCATGGTAAATACATTCCAGTCAAAGAGATGAGTAATAATCATACTAGCCAACTGATTAGGTAGTGTTTGAGATAGGGTGGTTGGGTCAATTATTCTCTGAAGCAGAATCCTGAGTTAAGTGAAGGACTAAGCCACCTGGGTCTCTCAGAGAAGTGAATTTTAAAGCTAAGAGAATGTTTACTGGGGGTGTAGCTTAGTGGTAGAGCATTTGGTTAGCATTCATGAGCCCCTGAGTTCATATTCCCAGCTCCACAAACGTGCTTGCATGTGCGTGCACATGTAGAGGGAATGATCACTTGAACAAGTGCTTGAAGATCAAGTGTTTGAAGATGGATTAGTGTATTCTATTATTCTTATTTTAAATGTAAAGACAATATAAAGACCTCACAGAAAATTTCAGATGTAACTTATTCTGTTAACTTAAATAAGCAACATAATTTTTTTCTTACAAATATTTTACATTTATTCAGATTTATGGATTCTTAAGTTATAGTGTGCCTTGTTGTGAGCCAGCCATGGGCTGTGTGTGTGAGCCATGAGCATTTGAGCACATGAAGATGTTGCTTCTCTGACTGGGCTGTGCCATAGATGTGTCCTTTTCTCTTGCTCTGCCTTTGATCCCACACAGCACCTGAGATGGGTGTGACCTTATAAGATGTCAGTCAATCTGCTAACCACAAGACATCACCAAGCAACCCCCTGAAACCCAATCCCTTGCCTTATTTGGGTTGAACTTTCTCAAATGTCTTTCCCCAAAGTAAATAGGATGGTTTCAGGCATGCTCTCTCTTTTATTTTTTATTTATTATATTTTTTATTTTTTGCCAGCCTCCCTTGCCTCCCTTGTGGGAGCTGGGGCAGAGAATCTGTCACTGAATCCCAAGAAAAAGGTACTTTCTATGTCTGTGTGATTATTTAATGCCATCCCAGTCCTCTTTATTTAATGCCTCCTCCAGTACCCTTCATCTAGCCCTCCAGTCTGCTATTTTGATGGAATTCCCCCTCCCATGCCTTTTCCCTTTCTCTCTCTTCCCTAACCTTATTTTGGACCAGCTTCCACATGTCAGAGAAAACGTTCAACCTTTGGCTTTCTGAGTCTGGCTTATATCACTTAGCATGGTCTGCTCTAGTTCCATCCACTTGCCTTAAAATGACATAATTTCATTCTTCTTTATGGCTGAATATTACTCCATTGTGTATAAATTTTCTTAAATTCATTCATCTGTGGAAGGGAACCTTGGTTAAATTCATAGCTTGGCTATTGTGAATTGTGCCAATATTTAATGTGGCTGTATCCCTAGAGTATACTGATTTTAGTTCTTTTGGATATATACCAAGGAGTGGAATAGCCAGATGATATGGTGGTTCCATTCCTAGTTTTTTGAGAAATCTCCATACTGCTTTTCAGAGTGGTTATACTAATTTGCAGTCCTACCAACAATGTATCAGTGTACCTTTTTCCCCACATCCTTGCCAACACTTACTATGTATTCATGATAATTGCCATTCTGAGGTGAGATGAAATCTCAATGTTATTTTGATTTGCATTTTCCTGATTGCTAGAGATGTTGAACATTTTTTTTCATGCACTTGTTGGCCAGTTGTATTTCTTCTTTTGAGAAATGTCTGTTTAGTTCTTTTGTCCATTTATTAATTAGGTTATTTGGATTTTTTTGGTGTTTTGTGTATTTTTTATATATACTGAGTGTTAATGTCCTATCTGAGGAGCAGATGGCAAAGATCTTCTCCCTTGTAGTCTTGTTAAGGAAGTTTATTCCTTTGCCAATGTATTGGAGAGGTGGATCTACATTTTCTTCTAGCAGTTTCAGGGTTTCTGGTCTAATTCCTAGGTCTTTGATTCACTTTGAGTTTACTTTTGTGCAGAGTGAGAGAGAGAGAGGGGTTAAGTTTCATCCTTTTACCTATGGATTTTAGTTTTCTCAGCACCATTTGTTGAAAAGGCTATCTTTTCTCCAATGAATGTTTTTGGCACCTGTGTCTAGTATCAGATAATTGGGTTATCTGATATATGTGGGTTTTTCTCTGTGTCTTCTATTCTGTTCCGTTGGTCTTCATATCTGGTGCCCAGACCATGCTGTTTTTGTTACTATAGCTCTGCAGTATATTTTGAGGTCTGGTATTGTGATGCCTCCAGCATTACTCTTTTTGCTCAGGTTGCTTTGACTATTCTGAGACTCTTATTTTTCCAAATGAGTTTTAGGATTACTTTTTCTAGTTCTGTGAACAATGTCATTGGTATTTTGATGGAAATTGCATTGAACCTGCATAATGATTTTGGTAGTATGGCCATATTAATAATATTGATATTTTATTAATATTAATTCTGCCTGCCCAAGAACATGGGAGGTATTTCTGTCTTCTAAGGTGTTCTTCAATTTCTTTCTTCAGTGTTCTATAGTTTTCATTGTAGAGGTCCTTGACATCCTTCCTTAGATTAATTCCCAAATATTTTATTTTTTTTTAGGTCATTGTGAATAGAATAGTTTTCCTAATTTCTTTTTCAACAAGTTCATTATTGGAATATAAGAAAGTGATTGATTTATGTGTGTTGATTTTCTTTTCTCACCTGATCTGGCTAGAGTTTCAAGGACAATGTTGACTAGATGTGAAAGTAGGTATCCTTTTCTTGTTCCTGTTTCAAGAGGAAATGCTTTCAGTTTTTCTCCATTCAGTATGATATTGGCTTTGGGTTTGTCACATATAGCTTTTAAATTGTTGAGCTAAGTTCCTTTTATCCCTAGTTTCTGTATTGCTTTAAACATAAATGAGTATTGCGTTTTATCAAAAAGCATTTTTTTTTGCACCTGTTGAAATAATCATGTGATTATTGTCCGTAAGTGTATTTATGTGGTGAATTTAATTTATTGATTTGTGTATGTTCAACCAACCTTGCATCCCTTTAAAGAAACCCACTTGATCATGATACACTATCTTCATAAAGCAGCATGGGATGTTTGATATACATAGTAAAATAGCCTAGCAAGTTAACCTATTTATTCTCCTGCATAGTTACCCCTTTCTTTGTATGTGGTAAAAACATTTTAAAAAATCTACTCTATTAACAAAATTTCAGTGTGCATAATAGCAATTTAATATTTCTTTGTAGTTCATTTTTTTTAATGTACACCCATTAGGACTATATGGTCAAAATACTGTTTTAAAGTCATTTGAATGAATCATTTTCTTTTCTTTGGTCATATTATCTGCTGTGTATACATTTAATTTGTTTCAACTTGACTCACTTTTTAGGGTTATTTTTCACTTTTTCAAAGCAATGGTTTTTTGTTGTTGTTGTTTGTTTGTTTGTTTGGTTTTTTTTTTTTTTTTTTGGTACTGGGGATTGAACTCAGGATGTTCTACCCCTGAGCTACATTCTGAGCCCGTTTAATTTTTTGAGACAGGGTATCACTAGGTTACTGAGGCTGGTTTCAAACTTGTAATGTTTCAGCCTCAGCTTCCAGAATCTCTGGCATTATAGGTCTGTGCCACAATACCTGGCAATTTTTCACTTTTCAATTTGATACAATAATCCAAATCATATGTACATTTAGGAGCTTCTTATATTAGCCTTGTTTTTCTAGGATATAATTAGCAAATATTTCTCTTCACATTGTTCTTTCTCTTAGACATTGTTTTGATGTTTTTCCAACATTCATAAGTCATTCATTCATATGTTTTTATGTTAAATATATTTATCTTTAGCCTGCTTTTCAAATATTTGAGCCTATTTCCAGATTAAAGAGAAACCAATCCACTTTAATTTAAGTATTTGTGTGGTTTGAATTATTATATTGAGATCTTGCATTCATTTAAAAATTATTATTTTGTAGTATTTTATCTTAAAATATTAAGCACTTTTTTAAATGTCATTTTATATTTTGGGGATATAATGGAGACAAGATCAACAATATCTTGTTTCTCTGAGAGCTAATGTTTAGTGAGGGATGGCAGATGCTTTCAGATAATGGTAAATGTCTTAAGAACAATGAAAAAAGATGAAGTGATAAAGAGAAACTGAAGACATTCCTTCCTGATAAGATGACATTTGAGTTGATTCCTGAGTGGTAAGAAGAAGTCAGCTGTATCTCATCTGGGGCAAAACTGTTCAGAGTGAAGGATACTCAGGACAAAGGCAGTGAGGAGAAACAGCCCTTAACACTTGTTAAATGCTTCCTGTGATCCAAGCACAACTCTGAAACACTTTATCTGCATTGTCTTGTTTATTTTTTCCAGGAACCCTTTGAAGATATTTATAATTACCCTGTTTTGATATGAGGACACTGAGATTGGGAGAGGTTAGGTCATTGACTTCATCTCTGCTTCTGACTTAGCTTTCAGGGCTCAAATTTACAACTGTGAATCTTTGATTTTATCTCTGCAGGCTTTCATGAGAAGGACAAGAAGCCATATTGCAGAAAAGATTTCTTAGCCATGTTTTCACCCAAGTGTGGTGGTTGCAACCGCCCAGTGTTGGAAAACTACCTTTCAGCTATGGACAATGTCTGGCACCCAGAATGCTTTGTGTGCGGGGTCTGTATTTTCCATTGTCTTTTGGATTTAGATGAAATCTAGGGTTCTCTTCTCTCAGAAGAGCTACAACTTGTAAAAGGTTCATGGTCTTAGTTGAGGAATTCATGTGGGCTTCCTGAAGGATAAATAAATCACAGCATGTGCTGTGAGCCATTTGAATCTATTTTGCAAGTGGGGCAATCTAAACTCAATTTGTAAATGACCTGGAGTTAAATTACCACAATTAGGAGATAACTTGACAGGAATTTCAAATCTGAATATTTTACTTTGCTGATATTTCACCTCTTGACACATGCATTCCTTTTCTGCCCTTTTTCCACCTCTAGGACTGCTTCAGCAGTTTTTCTACTGGCTCCTTCTTTGAACTGGATGGACGTCCATTCTGTGAGCTCCACTATCATCACCGCCGAGGAACCCTCTGCCATGGATGTGGGCAGCCCATCACTGGTCGCTGCATCAGTGCCATGGGTCATAAATTCCACCCTGAGCACTTTGTGTGTGCATTCTGCCTGACACAGTTGTCAAAGGGCATCTTCAGGGAGCAGAATGACAAGACCTATTGTCAATCCTGCTTCAATAAGCTCTTCTCACTCTGATCTCAACCAATCTACAACTTCCTCAAATGGCCTAGAAAATGTAAACCAAGATGAGAGAGTACATTTGCTGTTACTGACTTTTTGCTTAAATAGGCTTATAGAGAATGTAAAGGTGATGAGTAAATAAGGGGACATCGAGACATTACATGATTAGACTTAGAATATTTTATTTTAGGATTCTAGTTTTATATCTTTTTAATCTGGAACTTGGATTTAGACCTACGTCTTACTATTAAGTCCCTCTGCAGTTATATTTTCTGCATGCACCTTTTGTTCTACCTCTGGTTTTCTGTTTCTAATTTCTACCTCTCCTGGTGGCCTTCAGATATGTCCTGCTCCAAGCTTCCTTGTTTCCCTGAATAATCACTGCTGTGTCATTGTCCTTGCTGTTAGGAATCATGATACCACTCTTTAATTCTTTGCCTCTCCCTTCAATGTATTTCTCTTTTTCATGGGGAAATAGATTTTAACTGACATCCTTGATAAATAAAATGGCTTGTGGTTTTGATGACTCATTGTCTTATTTATTTGGTAGATAAACTTTCTGCTTCCTGTGTTATATCTGAGGCCTCATTTAGTGTCACCATCATGCCCAGCACTTTATACGTTTTTAAAGAATCTGATTTTCTTACATCCTATCTGATTGCTTATAAAAGTCTCTCAAGGGATCATCCTTCTTTAAAACATTGAATAAGGTATGTTCTATATCTTAACATAGTCCTCAAAATAATTGTATAATTGTTTGTTATGACAGAAAAATCGTTTTTAGAATCCTGGAATCTGAAATAGTTTACTAATGAAGACTTCTTTACTGGAGGTATTTAAAAAAATAGGGACGAATTTGTCATCTTTAGATTGGTATGGGAATAGCATTTCTTGGATAACTTAAATGGAAATGATTTTTGCCAAGATTTATCTCCTCTGTTAGAATGAATAATAAGGGAGTTTTTGAGAGAAAAGGAAGTAGTGACAGTTACTTCTATAAAATAGGAACTTTGAACGTGTGTTAAGGCATGTGGGAGGCCACACAGATATGCAGCCATCTGCCTTCTAGCCTGTTCCACTGTCTGAACGCACCAGACTAAGCAAAGAATACTTTCCACTTCGAAACACCCTCTTCACAAGTCTTCATTATGATGTCATGTGCACATGCAGGTGTTCATGGTCACGTTGGCAATTTGTCAAGGGAAACTTGGGTTTTAGCCTTGAGATGCAGTGTTCAGGTGCTTAAAGTTTTGGTTTTATTATATATTTTTCTAAGAATTAGGTACTTTGAGATTCTTTTAGAATTTAAATATTTAAGAATATCATAGAAAAGCTGGAGCTCACTAGGACACAAGAACATTTTCTTCTTGAAACTAAAACAAAGTGGTTTATATTTGCTCAAAAAGATACTGCAACAAGGACAAATAGTTTAGTAACAGGAAACCCATTTATAAGTAAAAAGTTTTTCCTTAAAAAAGGGCTGAGGCTTTAGCTCTCTGGTATAGTGCTTGCCTTGCATGTGTGAGGTACTGTGTTCAAACCCCAGCAACACATAAAAATAAATAAAGATACTCTGTGTTCATATACAACTAAATAAATATTTTAAAAAACACATTATTCAAGATGGTCACCTACTCATTTACTCTTGAATCTGAGTAATTTCTAGGTGTTTGAAAAATAAAATCCACCCTCCTGGGATAGTACTTTTCCACCAGTGAGGAGAGAGAGTGAGTGAGAGAGAAATAAATATGCCTTAAGCTCAGAACTGTATTATCAGAGAAGTTCCTCAATTAGTTTGGCCAATTATTCTTTGAAGTAAAGGTGATATCCAAGATGATACTGTGATAAGAGACATTCATTGCTTTTTTCATACAAGTTCTATCATGTCCTTCCTTTACAGTTATTGGATGGTTGCCAGACACATGCTCCTGTTTCCATGACCAGTGGAGGGAGAAAACATACTTTTTTAAACTTTTGTGAGAAAAAGTTCTGAAATTTGTCCTAACTAAACAAATTTAGGTCACATTCCCATTACTGTTTTTTTTTTTTTTTTTTTTTTGCTGGAGAAATGGATTGTGCAGCTTGGTTTAAACCAAACTGGACCCTTCCCAGAAATCGAGGATATATTAAGTGTCCTGGAAACCCAAGGGCTCTGTGGAAGGGAAGAGATAGGAATATTTAAAAATCTAGGTATTGGTAAGGAGGAAGTAGGTAATGAGTCTTGAATTCATATGTTCAAAAGCAAAAATATTAAAGAGTTTCTGAGTTTCAACATAAGACAGAAGGTAAGAAGTAGGTGTTGCCAGTGCCTTGAAGAAACATGTCTTGAGAACTTTTCAGAATTTAAAAGCAGAGGAGAGCTAGGAATAATGTCATCATGAGAACCATGTGTGGTGCTGGTCTCCTTTAGGAACATGGCATTAAAAAGCATCAAAAGCATCTTCAGTTTGGGAATCTGAAAAGAGAACTTCCTGATGAAATAAAGTAGAGAAAGGGAAACTCATTTCTTTAGAAGAAAGCATCTTAGTCATAAGCAGACCTTCAAAAAGAGAAGTGGCAGTAGCCACTAAAATAGGAAACTGAAAAGTGACTGCCTGCCCTCAAGATACAGCAAAGGTTTTCCCCACACAGAACTTGCCATCGATGTAGCGCTGAAGTACTAGGGAAAGCAGTCGTTAGAATTCACTGGATGAAGAAAGAAAGAATTCTCAGCTTAAAGCCAGTGCTTGGGTTGGGCTTGCTGCAACTTTAGACCTTTGCCAGAAGGCTGTAATATCTCAAATGTATTCAGTAGGAACAGAGACAATTTGTGTAGGGGGTTCTTCACTCCAGATGCATAGTGCCTCAATGAATATCCCGTGGGAAGATAATTTCTGCCTAAGTTTAGAGACCATGGATTCTGGACCATTGCATAGACTTCCTGGCATCCTGGTGAGGTAAATCCATCTTATCTTCCTATTTCAAATATTACCAAAACTTAACAAATGCTGTGTTCTGGGAGGAACATATTTTACCTGGGATAACTACCCCAGTTCCCGTGAGAAATCGCTCAGATCACAGGTGCTGATAGACTCTAGCTGAGAATGATCGGAACAAGACATCAAAGAGGACTTTCTTTAAGCTTTAACTCAGGAGAACTTGATTTTAGATTTGAATGCTTTTTTACTTCAACAGGCTGTGGTAAGTAATGGGAATGGACATAAGTAGGGATGTCCAATAGAGTGGGAATAAATTTCTTAGTTTTCTGTGCCCTTGGCCCTCTAGTCTAGTTTTTCCACAAGAAACTGCATTTTCCATGTTTTGTGCCTGTGTTTAGGAAGAGCTGACTTTACTTTCAGCTCCTGAAATGGACATAGTCCTGTGTCTAACCAATGTCTGACGACCTTGTTCTCCTGGACTAAGATAAGTTATTGGATCAAGTATAAACACATGACCTTAGCAAAGTCAATTGTATTGTTCCCTAGCCCCTTTGCAGGATATATTTGGAAAGGAGCATCTTATTTGTTGAAATAATAGCTGTGAATAAAAACCCATTGCTGCTTAGAAATATCTTTGTTGTTATCAATGGGGAGCCTGCCTAAGAAAGAAGCCAACATAGAGTTTCCTCTGAGTAAGACTAAGTAATGAAGAGGCTGTCTTTTCCTTCTTCTTCTCCTTCTTTCTCCTCTTCCTCCTCTTTCTCTTCCGTCTCTCCCTCCCTCCCTCTATTTCTTTCTTTTTTTCCTTCATTGTATGGTACTAGGGATTAAACCCAGGCCTCCACACATACTAGCCAATGTTCTACCACTGAGCTACATCCCTATCCCCATGATTTCTCTTTTTGGATGCCCACTCAATTCTACCATATCAACAACCTAACCTTAGACTGGGAAATTATGTGAGCAAATAAGTTTTTTTCTTTGTTTAAACTGATTTAAGTTGAGGTTCTGTTACAAATTTTTTGAGTAAGCAAAATGCACATATTCTCTCTTTTATCAGTTTAAAGTGTAGTGAAAGAATGAATAAATAGATGAACAAATAAACTCAATGTGAGCACAAAAACTACATTGCATGTCATCTTAAAAACTAGTGGGTTAGGAGCTGGGGCTGGGGCTCAGAGGTAGCACACTTGCCTGGCATGTGTGAGGCACTGGGTTCGATTCTCAGCACCATATATAAATAAATAAATAAAGGTCCACCAACAACTAAAAAATATTAAAAAACAAACATAAAAAAACCTAGTGGGTTAAAATAATATATTTTTACCCTACAGCAGTGAAACATAACTGTATTTTAAGGTTAAGACACCCTGTGGGTAGTTCACATATTTAGAATAAAATACATGTATTCTTGAAATTGTTGTTCCTGTCCAATATCCGGATAAAGGTGAGATGAGTAATGTATGTCTGGAAAATTAGAAAATAATAAGAGAAACAGATTTACATTTATACTGTGTCTTAGTTTGCACGGATTCCATAACAAAAATACCATAGACTGAGTGTCCTGGACAATGAAAACTTATTTTCTCATAAATCTGGAAATTAGAAGCTCCAGATGAAGGACTGGTGGGATTGGTTTCTGGTGAAGGCTCTCTTGACTTAAATATATATGGGGAACTGACAATACTAGTTGGGAAAAATTAAGGAGGAGTTAAAAAAAAAACCATCTTTGCCAACATCCTCAAATCACTGGAAATCACCATGTGCTTTGAGTATGTGCTAAGTCATTCATTTTCAAAGTTTTATGATGCTCCCGGCTTTAGGAAGCTTATTGTATTTCATCTAGAGTAGTGTTGGTAGAGGAGATAAAGGGAGAGAATGGGCAGTAATTATTTCTATTTATCTATGAAAAAGTGATCAGAACAAGGTCACTCAATTTAGTAGTAAAGCTGGAACTGTAACCATAATTTGCTAATTCCTTGCTGTAGATGCTTTCCTTGGGCTCTGTATCAACAGTGCAAAGTGCCTCCAAGAGATGTGGACCATGAGGTGAATTTTTACAGGATAAGGAAGGGCACTAATATATCCAGGTAACCCATTTCTCTAGGCTATGATGTTTGGGGTATAGTGCCAAGAACAGGGGTCTTGGCATTAGACAAACTGATATTCAAATATTGATTTTACCATTTACAAATGGTTTAAAGCTTGGCTAAGCCACTTATCTTCTCCAAACTTCAGTTTTATAATATGCTAAATGAGGGTAATACTTTCCATGTGGGTTTGCTGTGAGGATTAACTGAGATAATAAGCGAGAAAAGGCTTTGTAAACTGCCAAGTACCATACATAAAAGGCATTAACAAAATAGTCTAAGAGATATGTGAAGACATCAACACAGCATCTATCTCTAGCATTTCCATGGAGACAGTGAATTCATAGCAGGATTTTAGTTGTTTTTGTATGATTTTAGTAGTCTTTTTTAAGGTTCAGGATGAAAGCTTGACGGAATTGAAAATGCTGGGAGATTAAAGAGAAGAGCTTAAGTTTGAGCTCATAATCTTCCTTTGCAGTAACATATTGACAAAGTAATGCTCAAGAGTGAATGATTTC